CTTTCCTAGTTTGAATGAGAAAGCTTCTAGTTTCTCACTATTAAGTACGAGTAGCTGTAGATTTTCAGATTTAGTCCTAGTTTACTGAGGGTTTTTTTTTTTTTTATCATGAATGGGCATCAAATTTGGCCAAATGCTTTATTCCAGGTGTCCTCAAACTATGGCCTAGGGCCACATGAGGCCTGCCGGGTGTTTATGCCACCACTGCCTGTCCTGCTTAGTAGCCAGCTCAACCCGGGGCCTGCAGTCTGGCCCTCCAACGGTCTGAGGGACAGTGAACTGGACCCCTGTTTAAAAAGTTTGAGGACCCTTGCTTTATTCTGTATCTATTGATATAATCATGTGATTTTCCTTTAGCCTGTAGATGACATGGAGTACAATGATTGATTTTCAAACATTGAACCAATCTTGCATGCCTGGGATAAATTCCTCTTAGTTGTGGTATCCAATTCTTTGTATCCATCAAGGATCCATCCATCCATCATTGGATTTGTATGAGGGCTGTTCCAGAAAGTATCCAGCTATGTAATAGGAAAAAACTAGTATTAACAATGGCTGGATACATCCTGGACAGTGTGTGTGATTAAAATTTCTTTTTTTTTTTTTTTGAGACAGGATCTAATTCTGTTGCCCAGGCTAGAGTGCAGTGGCGACATTATAGCTCACTGTAACCTCACACTCCTAGACTCATGTCACCCTCCTGCCTCAGCCTCCCAAATAGCTGGGAATTAAAGGTATGTGCCACCATTCCTGGCTAATTAATTTGCTAATATTTTTTGAGGACGTTTGCATCTATGTTCATGAGAGATATTAGTCTGTTGATTTTTTTTTTTTTCTTATAATGACTGGTTTTGGTATTTAGGTAATGCTGGCCTTATATAGTAAGTTAGGAAGTATTCCCTCGGCTTCTACTTCCTAAAAAATTATAGAAAATTGGTAAAATTTCTTCTTTAAAATATGTGGTAGAATTCACCAGTAAATCTGTTTTCTGTTTAGAAAGGTTATTATTTATTGATTCAATTTCCTTAACAGATACATAGGCCTATACAGATTATTTCTTTATGAATTTTGGTGATTGCGTCTTTCAAGGTATTGGTCCATTTCACCTTGGATATCAAATTTGTGGGTATAGAGTTGTTCATATTATTCCTTCATTTCTGATATTAGCAACTTGTGCCTTCTCTTTTTTTCTTAGCTTGATAAGAAGCTTATTGATTTCATCAATCTTTTCAAAGAAACAGCTTTCGGTTTTATTGATTTTTTGTTTTCAATTTCATGAATTTGGTCTGATTCTTATTATTTCTTTGTTTTGTTTACTTTGGATTTATCATTTCTGGCTTCCAAGGAACTGTTTTAATTTGCCACCAGCTCCATCATGTTTTCATGCATCCCTGACATTTTTAGTTGTACTGCACCTGTAGGGTGAGTGTATTCCACCACAATGTTGGGAACAAAAACTCTCTATTTTATTTCACTTATTCTAGAAAGACTTCTTCTGTTAGTCCAATAAATTCAGAGATTGAAAGACTCAAAAACTTGAGTCATATGGGTAAAAATTAATGGGACCTTGAGATATAAAAATTATATAAACATAAAAAAATTATATGGGTAAAAATTTAGTACTGCAAATTCACTCCCACCTCCCTTCACATAGCATATTGAGCCCTAATTACAGCAATGGCTATAGTCACTCAGTTCTCTCTAAGTCCATTTTCTTTTTTTAATCTGTGAAATGGCAACAATTATAAGAGCATCTCAAAGTTATATATCAGGGTTAAATAATAGTAATAATAACAACTCAGCTCAGAGTCTGGTGCTGGAAAACTCAACAAATAACAGCTATGTTGTTTTTAAAACTTCTGTTGCTAATTTTGCCTGTTTATTTTTACAGAGGAGCTTTAGAAAGATTTACCCAATTTCTAACAAAATTGTTTTGGAATTTTGATAAAAATTCATTTTGGTGGAAATGTGTAAAATAATTTGGGGAGATTTTACATCCTAAGTCTCTTCACCCAGGAACATGGTTATGTCTCCAGTAAGTCTTCCTTAATATTCCTCAGCAAGGTTTTAACAGTTCCTCATTTAGGTCCCGAATCGTTCTTTTGTTTGATTCCTCTGTTTACTAATATTGTTAAGTGAAATATTCATTTCTATTGTTCCTAGAATATTTAAAACTTCTGTTTTCTATGTTTATTTTATAATTGGGCATCTTCCTGAAGCTTCCTAACAATTTTATAGCTTTCCAGGTACTCACATTATCTACAAATAACTTTCTCCTTTCCCCACAGTTATGCCTCCTTAAATATCCCAAAGTAAATTAGAGCAGTTAGCAGACAGCCTCATTTCATTCCTAACCTTAATAGGCACATCTCTAATGTTTCACAGTAAACGTACTGGTGTTGACTTTTATTCCTGTGAACACAGTGTAATAAGTTTTATCAGGAATGTACATTTGAACTATATTTTTAGGCACTGAAATGTAAATATGGCTTTCATCCTAATACAGGTATTGCAAAATATATTTTTCTCTTATAAGTTAATCTTGTATTTGTAGAATGTATATCATCCTATTTAATAATGGATCAACATTCCTATTATATGTGGTGGGTGCTGACTTGTTCATAATTTAAGACTTTTGGATCTACTTTATTCTTTCTTACTTTCATTGACAAATTCTTTGGAACTGAATTCATTGTAACTATATAAAGTGAATTTAGATGACTTTTCTACATTCTGGGACAATTTAAATAACTGTAAATATTTCTAACTTAAAACTACAAAAACGGTTAACCCATAACCCCCCTGGATTTGCTACTATTTAAAAAAATTATATGATTTTATAAAAGGTTTTAATGATTTCCTATTGCAGATTTCTTCAGACAATTCTGATAACATCTTTTGCCAGAAAACGGTCTTCATCTAGATAGTCAAACTTATCAGTGCATGGCAATATAGAATTTATTTATAACTTTAAAGTCTCTTTTATAGCCTAAGTATATTTTTTGTTCTTTTCATATTCCTGTTATCCTATCTTTTGCCATATCCATATAGATATTTCATTTTTCTTTTTCAGTATTTTGACACTATTCTGCTTTTATTTTAGTAGCAGTTTCCTTGATATTTTCCAAAAGCATTCTTTAAATTACATGTTTATGATTGGCATAGTTAATACTGAAGTGGAACAGCTGGCTGTACTTCTGATGATCATGTAGAAAACTTACTTCAGAGCTCCTCTCTCACCTCGACCTCCCTCTCAAGGTCTCAGTCTGGTTAACATAAGTTAATATAGCCTTGTCCAAATACTGACGACTAAAATACTGCTTTCCCCATTATTTATCCTTTTGAAGAACTTAACGCTCCACTGCATTTCATAAGCAGATTTACGATGATTATTTAAACTTACGTGTAAGTGTTTTTGGTCTTCACTATAGTCTTTTGGCATAAGGTTGATGTAGCACGCAGTTTTCCTTCATCTTTAAGTTGATTAATCTATATGTAGCCACTTTTCTCTGGAACAGCACATAAGTGGTGGAATGTCTGAAAATCTCTTTCCATTATCTTCACCTATGAAAGGCATCTTCACTGGATACAAATTTCTGTGCTTAAAATCTTTCCCTCCAGAACTCCCTCTTAATTTCTGGAATTGTATGAGGCTAGCTTGTTTTATTTTTCTTTTATAGATAGTGGGCTTTTGTTTGGTTTTGCTTTTATCCATGTAATTGATTTTTTCTGCAGGATGTGTTTAATTATATTTAATTATATATAATCTTTTCTCATAGATCTGTACGTTCAGAACTTTCTTTAACCCTTCCCCCTAATTTTTATCCAACTGCATCTCAGAATGTTGCTTCTGCTCCTCTTGCTCCACTCTCTCCTTCAGAAACACCAAAGACCTGCCTGCTTGCTGCCAAGCCAGTCTTGTCCACTCATTTGTACCATCTCAATGTACTCTTGAGTTCTCAGAGAACATCTTTCTTCTCATAATATTACTTTCTCAATTAGTGATCATGTTATTTTTTGTTCACAATGTGCATTTGTGCTGCTGTATTTTCAAGTTCCTAGAAGTTTCACCGTATTCCCCTCAACTGTCCCCTCCTATGGATTTCTGTTTCTGATTTGCAAATGCACATTTTCCTACATTTTTTTGGAGGATAGTTTCTCCGGAATAGTACACAAGTTTCCTGAAAACTATTTTCCGGGATAGTTTCCTGAAAATTACTTCTAGATCCTGAAACTGAAATTATACACGCATCATGTATATTTTTATGAATCTTTAAAACAATGTTCCTTATCTCTTGTGCCTCAGTATCCTTCTAAGTTCTGAGTTTTACCGCCTACCTTTCACCTCACCCAGACCTCTGGCCACTTTAAAAGACTCAGCTCTGGCTATATACCAAGAGATTATTTATGGTAATGGGACTTTGATATTCTTGTTTATTTTACCCATTGTTTAAATAAATGTCTTATACACACATGCTTCAGTAATAAATTATTTTGAAAAAATAAATCTCTTAAAGTACTCTGTGAACAGCATAAAAAAGAATATTTGTAGAAATATGTAAGCTACAATATGTAGAAAAATTGTATCAAGATAATAGTTTAAAAACATGTACTTTTGCTTGTAAGAGGAAGAATTCTAATGTATTAACAGAATCACAACATGATTTAACCCTATTCCTATATAAGTCCCAATTTTATTCCAAATAATCACATAACTTTAAGAAAGAATTTTCCTAAAATACTTTCACAAAAAGTAATCCCACTATCATAAATTCTGGAAATGCCATCTTGTCCATTAGTACAACCTTAGTTGAACTGAAACATTTCAAAAATGCCATAGTTTCTATAGATTTCATTTAAAAAGTTAAAAAAACCCAACCCTTTCTAACTTTCATGATAAATGATGCTACTGATAAATTTACTTGGTAGAATTTTAGTTACTTTGGTGATTTTTACATTTTCACAAATAAGCAACAGATATATATTAAAAAATAAGCCAGCCTAATGGTTTTCACTGGAGACTACCGAGTTGCATTTTGTTAAACCCAAGTTGAACAGAGTTGAGTTTAGATTAATACAGAGAAAGGCATGCTCTGGATGGGTTGTCCTTTGTATTTCTTGAAGCATCAGATGAATTGTAAAAAGTTCAAAGAGCTTCTTATTACTCCTGTAAAAGAATGAGTACATAATTTAATTACACACACATAGGGACGTTATCTATAATGTTATCTGTAATGACACTGAGAGATAATTTATGTAATTGTGAGAAAGTGGCATTTGGTTTTTAAAAATAGTGGATAAAATAGAGAACTAAAAGACAAACAAAACAGGTTTTATGAGATGGGCCTCAAGTAGAAAAGCACCTGGAGGAAAAGAAGAAACATTTTATAATCTTGAAAACTGTACCTTATTCAGCTTGAGAAAACTTATTTTTCATAGATTAAAAAAGAGTCAAATATTTTATCATCTTAATTTAAGTAATCAGGGTTGGTTGGTTATTTATTTATTTATGTATGTGTTTATGTATGACAGAGTCTCACTCTGTTGCCCAGTTAGAGTGCCATGGCATCATAACTCACAGCAACTGCAATCTCCTGGGCTCGAGCAGTCCTCTTGCCTCGAGCAGTCCTCTTGCCTCGGCCTCCTGAGCAGCTGGGATGATAGGTGTCTCCCATAACACCCACTAGTTTTTCTATTTGCAGTAGATATAGGGTCTCTTGCTCAAACTGGTCTTGAACACCTGAGCTCAAGCAATCTACCCACTTCAGCTTCCCAGAGTGCTAGGATTACAGGCATGACCCATCATGCCTGGCCTCAAGCAGGGTTTTTTTAAAGTAGCAGAATATTGGCTTATCTTTCAACTTGGCTCCAAAATACTTCAACTATCCTCTTTTTAATAATCAGTCAGCATTTTCAATCAATCAAAATAAAATCTTATAACATATGTCTTATTTCTTTTTCTAGATATATTTACTTCTTGGGAAAAATGATCAAATAACCTTATTACCATCCTTTAATAAAAAAGATTTGTATCTTTGTGGTTTTAAAGCTTTAAGACAGGGTGTTCAACCTTTTGGCTTCTCTGGGCCACATTGAAAGAAGAGTTGTCTTGGCCACAAATTAAATACACTAACAACAGCTGAGAAGCAGAAGAAAAGATGTGTGCATAGTTTTCACGGTATCTGCCATCACAGACAAGCAGAAATGTCCTCACTTAATAATCCTAATAATGCAGTGGCCTGTTCAGAGTCTTTTAAAATCATTGAGCACCTTGCAATCACTAATATAGAATATATATGTATCTAAATAATAAAATGTCTTTGGTTTTTTTGTATTTGTATTATAAAAGAAAAGTGGGAAACATAAAACCAGTGGGATATCTGACACTGTATTTGAGAAACTAATGCAGCAATATCTGCTTTGATGGAAGTAATTGTAATTCTCAGAGTTCTCAAGGTGCTCATCAGATATTTTAGTTCTAATTTTACTCTTAATGTACTTCATTATTAAAAATAGTTACTTGCAAATGTAAGTCCTGCCAAAATGCAATGACATGAATAAGGTATGATTGTGAAGTGAGGGATATTTGTCTCTGGGAAGACAGAACCTATAAAAAGTCCAATAAAGAGACATGATCAAATTTTTCTTTAAGTTGAATGTCAGATTGCAGCTCTATGCATTCCATTTGAAAATTGGAATAGTCTCAACAAAGAAGTTATATTGCCTGAAAATGGAGTCACAATGCACCAAAATATTATTTTCTTGGAAATAATTCTTGTATCAAATCAAAAAGCAAGGCTGCATATATTATGAGATGGGCCTGTGGCTAGCCATGTTGAAATGCATAAAATTGTTTGCCTTAACTTGAGCGTGCCATAATGTCAGTTTTAGTTGGAATACTGTTCTGGTTTGAAACACTGTATTGATAAACTGGTTTTCACCTTGAAGACACAGGATTAACTTATTTAAATGAACAGTTAAATCTACTAAAAAATGCTAAATCTGTAAGCCAGTTTTCATCAAGTTCTGGTACAAATTTGGTTTTTGATAACCATAAACAACTTGATAACATGCCGCAAATCATAAAATCTTATCAATATTTGGCCTGGACTTAGTCATCTTACTACCAAAAAGTAAATAATGTTAGAAGAGTCAGCATCAATACTTTTAAGGAACTTCTGGACTTGGTGATGAGTTAATCCCTTGGCCCTTATGAAATCCACAGTCTTGTTTTTGTTTTTTTTTGGAGACAAGAGTCTCATTCTGTTGCCCTAGATAGATGCTTTGGCTTTGTACTCCAACAGCAACCTCAAACTCTTGGGCTCAAGTGATCCCTTTGCCTCAGCCTCCCAGGTAGCTGGGACTACAGGTACCCGCCACAATGTCCAGTTAGTTTTTCTATTTTATTTTATTTTTTAGTAGAAACAGGGTCTTGCTCTTGCTCAGGCTGGTCTTGAACTCCTGAACTCATGCAATCCTCCTGCCTTACCATCCCAGAGTGCTAGGATTACAGGCATAAACCACCACACCTGGCATGAAATTTAGTCTCGATGACAATTTGCATGATGTTATCCATTTTTTTAAGCTTTTGCACATAAATTTTCCTGATGTACTATACAATGATATAAAACGTGAATTTTGGGCAACACGTCCATTGTCTTCTCTTAATTTTACAAGTCCCTCTCTTTTACCAACTATCACTGGAGCAGCATCAGTAACTATACCAGATATATTGAAAATAGACAAAGAAAATCACGTTAACATTTTTTACTGCTTCATATAAATCTCTTGATTTAGTTGTGCCTTTTAATGGCACTAAGGAAGCCATTTCTTCAGTGACATTATATTCATCATCAATATCACTAATAAAAATAGCAAGCTGAGCTATATTTGTAGCATCACTGTTATTCATTACCAAAGCATAAAATTTTAAATTAGTAACTTTATCCAAATTTCTTTCAATAGACTTTCCAATTTCTTTAATTTGCCTGGCTGTAGTCCGGTGAGAAACAGATTTTAGAAATATCCATACCACCCCTTTTCTGAGACAGAGTCTTACTCTGTTGCTCCAACTTCCTTGGAGTCATAGCTTACAGCAACTTCAACTCCTGGGTTCAAGTGATCCTCTTGCCTCAGCCTCCCAAGTAGCTGGGACCACAGGCACACACTACCATGCCTGGCTAATTTTTCTATTTTTAATAGAAATGAGGTCTTACCCTTGTTCAGGCTGGTCTAAAACTCGTGAGCTCAAGCAATCCACCCATCTCAGCCTCCCAGAGTGCTAGGATTGCAGAAAAATACCCCTTTTTATTCAGGGCAAATTATATCCGCCTAGCTTTCCATACATTGCTTAATAAATTCACCATCAGTAAATGGTTTTTATTTTTTGCTATTAAATATGCTACCACATAATTAGCTTCTATAGTGAAATCTGTTTGAGCTGTAACATTTTATAAAAATTTTTGCTGAGAAAACAGAATTTTTTCAGTTCCAGTATTTTGTTCTTACAACACAATCCTTCATACTCATCAAATCTGGCCACATGTTTTTGCATATAATGCTTTTTCATATTATAGTCTTTGAAAACTTGTACAAATTCCCTAGAAATTAAACAGAGTGCCTTACTATTTGCCTCAACAAAAAAGTAGTTACCTGTTCACCTTCCATTGAACAATCTTCCTTCATCCCTAATTTTTTTCTTTTTTGAGGTTCTGTTTTCTTTTGAAACATTAAAGAAGCCATGCTTGGATTAGCAAAATAATAATAGATATTTGGGGTGCTCCCACTGAATGGGCACAAGGTAAGGGTATATATGGTACACCTTTTGGGTGCAGGATATAACTACAAGAGGGAGTCTACCTAACAAATTCCAATATTGTGATTTGGCTGTTTGTACCCTCATGTGAACCTGAAATTAAAAAGAAATAGATAAGGGATTATATTTACTTTTATTATAAGAATTGAGAGAAAATAGAAAGCAAGGTTTGGCCCTTCCCTATCTTGGCTGCCAATGCAGGGCAAGGTGGAGGTGGATTAGTCCGGTAGGTGATGTGAGAGGTGCTGCCAAGGTGTGGAAGCACCTTAGTAATCAAATAAAAACACTCTCCTGACTTCTAAATAACAGTCAATGCCTACTGTTACAATGGTAGGTTGAAATTTTATTGATAATTGCTGCCTTGCCAAGGGACCACGAGCACATATAACATTTGATGATGCCAATTCAACTGTCTGAGCTTGGAAGACACCACACTGGAAGCCACACACTGAGTAAAACTGAGTAAAACTGAAGCCACGCATGTATACAAATAGTGAGAGTGTACTCAGGTTTATCTTATGTTACACTGTGACACAACACTGTCCTCTATAAAAAATCTCATAATGTTTTAAGTAAATTTACAATTTTATGTTGGGCTGCATTTATCGCCATCCTGAACTACATGTGGCTCACGGGTTAGACACCCGTTTTAAGACTTGCTTAAGCATCAACTATTCCCAATGCTCTGGTTCAAGCTTTATTCTAGGTCTCTACCTAAGTCTGAAATGAACTTAAGCTACAAAACACACTGAAGGGTTTAAGTGGCCCAGAGATGAGACTGAGAGGAAGTGAAGAAGTTAAGGTTAGGTTTATTGATAGGGAAAGCAACCTGCCTGGGTGGGGCAGATATGTGTCTTCACCCAGAGGCAGTTAGAGACCACTTTTATACAGGGCTGTAAGGGCCAGCTTGCCTGGAGGGCTTTGGTGGGTTAGGGTCCTTTGGCCCAAATTTCTTTGGGGTGAGGCTAAATGAGTCTTTGTGTTCTTTGGGGGGGTGGGAAGAGAAGGGTTCATGTAGGGCTGTGTAAGTCATAAATAGTAAAACACTTTGGCCCAAGGATATATTTGCACTTTGTGACTACTTTTAAGATATCCAATTAATTAAGAAATAAAAAAGAATTAAATCTTAATTAAGAAATAAAAAAGAATCAAATCTAAGTAATGTTACTGCAGTTTCAAGGCACACAGCCACAGGCCTTATTAAGAAGTTACTGATTACAAACAAGAGAATCATGACATAGTCTGTAGGAAAAGGAAAACAATCAATCGATAAGTTTAACTGGTATCAGACCAAAACTAACAAAGCGGTCAGTTGAGAATAAGATTGACAATTAATAATATTACAGTGTGCTAGGCATGGTACCAGATAGAACACATAGATCCATCTACAAATAAATTTCAGAGGCATTGCATTTACTATTCAAGTACACTGAAGCCTGATGAAACACTTACATTTTCATTCTTTCTTTCTTTTTTTTTTTTTTTGAGACAGAGCCTCAAGCTATTCCCCTGGGTAGAGTGCCGTGGCATCACAGCTCACAGCAACCTCCAACTCCTGGGCTCAAGCGAGTCTCCTGCCTCAACCTCCCAAATAGCTGGGACCATAGGCGCCCGCCACAACGCTGGGCTATTTTTTGGTTGCAGCCATCATTGTTGTTTGGCAGGCCTGGGCTGGATTTGAACCCGCCACCTTAGGTGTATGTGGCTGGCGCCTTAGCCACTTGAGCCACAGGCGCCGAGCCCTAAATTTTCTCTGATGGAAATTATAGATGAGGAGATAGGGCTGAACCAAAACAAAAATTGTACTATTACATGTCAGAAGGTGTCTAGATTTGCCTCAAAGGAAACACTAGACTACACTAGATTCAAAGAAAATCCATGCCTTTAATTCATAATTTACAAATTGGTTATATCAATATTTCACTCAGGAGAAAGAGGAAATAGCCCTTAATTCTTACAATGAAGTCCAAATTAGTGGCAGTAGGAAGCCCATTAAATAGTTTTCTAAAATAAATTTGGTTACTAAAATAATTTTAAATTCTTCTGTTTGCTTGATTTTCACTGTCTAAACTCACTTTAGTACATGAATAAGAAACTGAAAAATACATTTTATTATCTCTTTAACTGTTCACCTTTAGCACTACAGATTAATGAATACGATTTATTCTGTTATTATCACTTGGTTGCTGAAAACTGCTCTTACTTTTATATACTCTGTGGTATTCAAAGTTCATTTAGCTTAACTGAACTACGGAAACGACTATATGTTCTAGACTGATACTCTAATTCTAGTCTGTCACTATTATGTGGTCTTAGATTGCATTAATGTTCACAAATCTTAATTTTCTCTATCTGTATATTGGAAATTTTGATTTAATAACCAAAGTTAAACTAGTATTGGATTTAGAAAGGTCTAAATGATCACAATAAGATATCTTTCAATAAAAAAGTCAGAAGTAAAAAGTTCTTACTTGATTTTTGAAAGTTTTTGTAGAATAATACTGAGCTTTTCTAGTATTTGAAGATCAAGCTTAGGAGTTCGAAGCAGCACGGAGCAAGTACGAAAAAATAAAGTGTTGCTACAGGCTTCCAGGAACGGCTGCAAGAATTCTGAAAAAATAGATCATCAGTGTTTTACTGTTAGGGAGTAGCTAAAAATGAAATAAAAAAACAAATGAAACCAAACTATGTGGGGGCATTTATAAGCACTAATTTAGATTTTCATTTTTTTTCATACTTAAACTTTGGCAAAAAACATCATCATTTGAAAAGTAAAACATATATTGGCTCTTACTGAACACTGAAAAGGAAAGTTATGATTATTTTCCCTATCACAGAGGGAAGTCATCTCTTCTGTAAAATAAATAAAGTCAGAGGAATGTTCTGCTGATAGAAAATAAAAAGCAGTTCTCATGATTTGAATGTCTGTCTCTCTCCAAAACTCATGCTGAAATTTAATTGCCATTGTAATCATATTAAGAGGTGGGACCTTTAAGAGGTGATTAGACCATTTGGCTCTACTCTCACAGATGGGATTGGTGCCATCATTAAAAGTCAAGTTCAGCCCCCTTGTGCTGTCTCTTCACCCTCTTGCTTTCTATTACATGATGAGACAGTAAGAAGGCCCTTACAAGAAGATGGCAGAAGCTTGATACCAGACTTCTCAGCTTCTAGAATTATGAGCCATTAAATTTCCATTCATTGTAAATTACCTACTCTTTGGCATTCTGTTATAGCAGCACAAACAAACTAATACAGAAATTTATAACAGAGAAGTGGGGAGTTGTAACAAGAGCCTGAAAATGTGGATGCAACTTTGGAACTGGGTAATGGGAAGAGGCTGAGAGAATTTGAAGGAGCAAGCTAGAAAAATGATAGACTGTGTAAGGGTCAAAGGGAGGCTTAACATAACTAGCTCCATCTTGCTTCTATTCCCCTGTGGCAATATCCTTTAGGTTAAAAGCTTCCACTTAGCTCTGCAAGTAGGCCAGCATTAGCCAGCCTTTTTCCTTATGGGAAGAATTTAGGTTGCGTTTCAGCTCTAAAGGAAAGAAGATAACTATTTCCTTCCCCAAACTAACTTCTGTGGAGATAAGGAAAGTATATACACAAGCAACATATCTATGTTAAAGATCATGACCTTACCCACTCGTTCAAAGTTAACTGACTGAGAACAAAGAAATTTACAACCTCCTCAGACCCTCACTGAAGTCCAAACGTCTGAAGTCTTTAATTAAATCTTACAACTGCACCCCTTCCCTTAACATAAAAAGCCTGAAGTTCATAGTAACTTAATAGGACATTAGTCCTCCATATTCTCAGTTGCCATCTCTCCCAATAAAAGTTGCTTTCCTTGCCTTAACACCTTGTCTCTTGACTTAACTATCTGTTCTGCAATGAATAGGATGAGCTTGAACTCAGTTACAATTGCTATGAATAGAACATCAAGGGTGATTTTGGTAAAGGTTCAGAAGGGGAAAGCTGTAGGGAAAGACTAAAACTTCTTAGAGATGACTTAAGTCGTCATGACTGGAATGCTGGTAGAAATATGGACAAAAGAATTTCCGCACGAGGTTTAGCAAAAATCTCAGAAGTGAGAGCACAGCCCCAAGAACCTAGAAAAGATGGTGTGTCATCACTGCCTACAGGGGAGAAAGTATATTAGGATAAACGGCTCTTAAATAATAGCTCTGAAAGGGGAAAAAACTAGACTTGGATGTTATAGAAAGAAGAAAGTACAGAACTTTTTTACCCTCTTTATGAGGATATACAGGAAATTTGAGAGAGGGAGGCCTAAGAAAGATCAACATTAATTAGAAACATAGTACAGCAACTGATTAATCAATTGCTCAATAAGAAATACAGCATGCAAAAGACAGACACATAAGAATTGCTCAATAAGAAATGTAGCATGCAAAAGAAAACACAGCTCAAAGAACACATCAAAATTTTCAACAAGAGTTTTAGGGTTTCAGTTGACCTAACAAGAACAGGGCCAGTCAATAATATAAGAAAGATCCCAGTACTCTGGGAGGCCGAGGAAGATGGATTGCCTTAGCTCACAGGTTTGAGACCAGCCTGAGCCAGAGTGAGACCCCGCCTCTAAAAATAGCCAGGTGTTGTGGTGGGTGTCTGTAGCCCCAGCTACTTGGGAGGCTGAGGCAAGAGAATCATTTGAGCCCAGGAGTTAGTGGTTGCTGTGAGCTATAACGCCACAGCACTCTATCCAGGGCGACAAAGTGAGACTCTGTCTCAAAAAAATAAAAAGATTAAAACAGGCAGAGAAAAAACTTTTTAAAAATGCTATTAAAGGGTAAGCTGCGAGCTCTCCTTGCTGAAGTCACCGAGCGCCAGGCACTGCCAGAATTGTGTGCAGCAGTCCCCTGCCCTGATGCTGGATCCATGTGCCCTGTGCTCCGGCTCCCGGAGCTGCTCCTACAGCCAGAACTCCTTGGCTGTGGCAGTGGCCTGGGAGCTGTGCAGGATCACTTCCCACAAAGATTCAGCAACAACAGACCGATCCCGCTGGGGTCTAATCTTGGAGAGACACCTCCTCAACTCTGAGGACTGCCAGAGGAAACCAGAACTCACTCTATAGGGATAACCGGTGCTGCAGAGTGGCGGGGCAAAGGCAAGGTGGCTGAGGGAGAAAAGCATTTGCTGACTTGTTACCCTCAGGATTAGACTGAGTTCCAGTGGAACACTTGCCAGTGGCTATTATCTGAGGCAGGCCTCAGCTTCCCCAGTGGACTGGTGACAGAGGGTAGTGGCTGGGCCATGGGCATTGACCTTCCTTTGACGCTGACAGACGCAAAGCCCCAGCATTATCTGCTTATTGGAGGGAGCAGAACCTCAGCCCTGCGGGGTCACCAGTGACTGAGCATGAAAGACGAGTAAAGTGGAGAAAGAAACACAGTCCCCTGGTCTAACTCTGCTACTGGGCAGGCTTTTCTGACTCCACAGAGCACCAGAGTGAGCCAAATTTGAGCAGCTAGTAGACCTCCACCACCTAGTTGCTGGAAACCTTTCAAACTCTCCCACTTGAGAGTTCACACTGACTGGGTCAATTGGTTTGGAACTCCTAACCTGAGCCAATCACCCAAGGACCCTCTCAGGTGGTACCCTGGTTGTGTGACAACAGGGAGGGTTGATTTTCTTCCAGTTCTTGTCCATAGGGGGGTGGGGTGTCTTAGTTGCTTGTATTTCTCCATAGCTAAGACTTCACCAGAGTCACTGATCCACTAGCATCAGACAAGAACCAGCTGAATACAAGACAGAGCCACCTAACCCCACCACACCAAGCATGTTTCCTCAGCCTCAGACTGTAATACTGTACGGGTCCTTTTCGAAGCTATAGGGGAAAAAGCTGCAGTCATTAGTCCTAGATCCTTGACAAAGGTCTGGTTAACCACAGGAACTCTCCAGGAACTCTCAATCCAATTTCACCTTATCTGCCCATCTAGCCAATGGTGAAAAACAACCATGAAGCAGAATAAACGGAAAAACTCTGGCAACATGAATAATCGGAGCAGATTAACTCCCCCAAGGAACGATATGGCAGACCCAGCACAAGATCCCATTCATAAACAAATAGCTGAGATGTCAGAAATCGAGTTCAGAATTTGGATAGCAAATAAGATTAATGGAGGTAAAGATGGAATTAGAATTTCAAGGAGTAATTCAAAATATGTCTCAAGAATTCAACAAATTCAAAGACAACATCACCAAAGATTTCGACACATTGAGGCAAGAACTTGCAGCCCTCAAAGATATGAGAAATACAGTAGAATCCCTCAGTAACAGAATGGAGCAGGCAGAAGAAAGGATCTCTGATAATGAAGACAAAGATTTTGAATGCTCCCAAATGCTCAAAGAGGAAAATAAGTGGAGAACAAAAATAGATCATTCTCTCAGAGAGCTCTGGTATAATTCAAAGAGATCTAATATTCACCTTATTGAAATTCCTGAAGGTGATGAGCTTGCTGCAAAGGATACAGGTGCTTTGATTCATGAAATAATCAAAGAGAATTTTCCAGACATGCTAAGAGATTCTGAAATTCAGATAGCAGACAGTTTCAGAACACCGGCACAACTCAATCCAAATAAAAATTCTCAGAGACACATAATAATTAGCTTCACCAAAGTTAATATGAAGGAGAAAATTCTGCAAGCAGCCAGATGTAAAAAAACATAACTTACAACCATAAGTTACAACATTAATGACTGCAGATCGCACTTCTGAAACCTTTCAAGTTAGAAGAAGGTGGTCATCGACCTTTGATCTCCTTAAAAAAAAATAACTTTCAACCCAGGATCCTGTATCCAGCTAAACTGAGTTTCATCTATGATCAAGAAATTAAATACTTTAATGACATGCAAATGTTGAAGAAATTTGCCATAACTAAACCAGCTCTCCAGGATAGTCTTAGACCTATCCTCCATAATGAACAGCACAATCCTCCACCATCAAAATAAACTCAGAAACTTTTGATCAAATTCCAACTTCCACAGTGGTGAAAGGATTAAAAATGTCCATTGGACTTTCAAAAACCTCGATACCCAAAATACTACCAGGCTTATCAATACTCTCAATTAATGTGAATGGCTCAAATTGCCTTCTAAAGAGGCACAGGTTGGCTGACTGGATACAAAACCTCAGGCCAGACATCTGCTGCATTCAAGAATCTTACCTTACCTTAAAAGATAAACACAGACTCAAGGTTAAGGGATGGTCATCTATAATTCAGGCAAATGGAAATCAGAAAAAAGCAGGTGTTGCAATTTTATTTGCAGATAGAATAGGCTTTAAACAAACAAAAGTAAGGAACGATAAGGATGGTCACTTCATATTTGTTAAGGGCGACACTCAACATGATGAAATTTCAATTATTAACATTTATGCACCCAACCAGAATGTACATCAATTTATAAGAGAGACTCTAACTGACATGAGCAACTTGATTTCCTCCAGCACCGTAATAGTTGGAGATTTTAACATCCCTTTGGCAGTGTTGGATAGATTCTCCAATAAGAATCTAAGCAAAGAAATTTTTAACTTAACCAATCAACATTTGCATTTAATAGACATTTACAGAACATTTCATCCAAAC